GAGGGGGGGGTGACTTCTTTGTCGGTGCTGTCAGAAGGAAGAATGTGTGCCGTACGGGTTGGGGCCGAATGTTTACACCCACAACCGTCCGTGTAGTAGCGTGTACGATCGTTTTTTCCTGCACCCTGTTTGATGTCGAAGCAGTTGTTTAGAGGGTGAAGCGGACTGTAACAACAGCGAACAGTCCCTCGTGTTCCGCTGCCGTCGCAACCTTGACGACAGCAGCAGCAGCAGCAGCAACAACAGTCCATTTTTTGTTCCGCTCCCGTCCAAACCGTGATTGACCAACTCCCTCGCAACACGCAGCCGACGGCGATGCCTACCAACACCACGGCCATCGAAGAAGTCCTTGACACTACGGGAGAGACAGCCTCGGGGGCGGTGGTGGTGGCTGTCGCCGCCACCGGCGCCGCCGCTACGGTTTCGTCCATCACGGCGACGACGGCAGGTACGCCGAATATATTCGTTGGAAGGCTGCACTGCTGTAGTAAATAGTACATCAGTCCAGTTCACTGCTGTACGGCACTTCGTGTGTCCACTATTTATTATGTATTGTTCATCATCCGTCTGCCTTTTGTGAATGGGATGGGTGTTGAAAATATACCGTGGCACTGTACACTGTAGCAGTGGCCATGCTCTCTTGCGTCTCCCCCCTGCTGGACGGGAGGCAAGACCCAAACTCCCGAAGGGAAGACTTGTTTGGGCAGGCCCCTCGCCGGCTTGCGTGTGCCTCGCGCATGCAGTCTCAATAGCTCCTTCAGCAGCTGACGACATCCCCTTGCCTGTCCGTAAACATGCGCACGCGCGCGCGTCGTCGTTGTTGTTGTTGTCGTCGGGAAATATCCCTTCTTGCTCCCAGCGGCCACGTCCACCGCCACCACCGCTGCCACTACCGCCGCCGCCAGCGGCAGCACCGTCGCCGCCAGCGGCAGCACCGTCGCCGCCACCACTGCCGCGGGGGGCGGGGGGGCGGCGCCAGGCGCCGCCGCAGGAGGAGGTGCGGCCGCCGGCGGCGGCGGCACGACCACCGCTGCGGGCGCCACTACCGCCGGCGGCGGCGGCACGACCACCGCTACGNCCGTCCGTGTAGTAGCGTGTACGATCGTTTTTTCCTGCACCCTGTTTGATGTCGAAGCAGTTGTTTAGAGGGTGAAGCGGACTGTAACAACAGCGAACAGTCCCTCGTGTTCCGCTGCCGTCGCAACCTTGACGACAGCAGCAGCAGCAGCAGCAACAACAGTCCATTTTTTGTTCCGCTCCCGTCCAAACCGTGATTGACCAACTCCCTCGCAACACGCAGCCGACGGCGATGCCTACCAACACCACGGCCATCGAAGAAGTCCTTGACACTACGGGAGAGACAGCCTCGGGGGCGGTGGTGGTGGCTGTCGCCGCCACCGGCGCCGCCGCTACGGTTTCGTCCATCACGGCGACGACGGCAGGTACGCCGAATATATTCGTTGGAAGGCTGCACTGCTGTAGTAAATAGTACATCAGTCCAGTTCACTGCTGTACGGCACTTCGTGTGTCCACTATTTATTATGTATTGTTCATCATCCGTCTGCCTTTTGTGAATGGGATGGGTGTTGAAAATATACCGTGGCACTGTACACTGTAGCAGTGGCCATGCTCTCTTGCGTCTCCCCCCTGCTGGACGGGAGGCAAGACCCAAACTCCCGAAGGGAAGACTTGTTTGGGCAGGCCCCTCGCCGGCTTGCGTGTGCCTCGCGCATGCAGTCTCAATAGCTCCTTCAGCAGCTGACGACATCCCCTTGCCTGTCCGTAAACATGCGCACGCGCGCGCGTCGTCGTTGTTGTTGTTGTCGTCGGGAAATATCCCTTCTTGCTCCCAGCGGCCACGTCCACCGCCACCACCGCTGCCACTACCGCCGCCGCCAGCGGCAGCACCGTCGCCGCCAGCGGCAGCACCGTCGCCGCCACCACTGCCGCGGGGGGCGGGGGGGCGGCGCCAGGCGCCGCCGCAGGAGGAGGTGCGGCCGCCGGCGGCGGCGGCACGACCACCGCTGCGGGCGCCACTACCGCCGGCGGCGGCGGCACGACCACCGCTACGGGCGCCACTACCGCCGGCGGCGGCGGCACGACCACCGCTGCGGGCGCCACTACCGCCGCCGTAGAGTCCACCGCTGCGACTGCAACCGCCGCCGTGGAGCCTACCGCGGTGGGTACAGCTATAGCCAATCCGCTGCAGATGCATGGTACCGTAGTGTCCTCTTCTTTTGGGTTAGCCCCCCGTAGTACGCGTTCACCGTCGGGGTCTTGTGATACACGCGGCCTTGTGCTGGATGTAACGGTGGTGCTATTAGGTGTGGTGTATGTGTGCGTATGTTGTGTGTTTTCTTTCGTCCCATGCGTGTGTGATGTGTGCGTGTGTTTTTTTCCCTACCGTCTACCGTAGGTTGCATGACGTATGATATCACACCCCCTGGAGTAATTTTGAAAGGACGGTTACTCGACGGCGAAGCGGATGCCGAAATCAAAGGATACGTTTTCGGGAAGCTCTTGACGAGACGGTTCCAGCGTCCCCCCCGCCCCGGACTCTCTCTCTCTCTCTCTCTCTTTCCCATCTCAACGCCTCACCTATCTATCCCTTTGTTGCCAACGGCTCCTCAGGTAGCCGCTTCTACGACGACGGGGGCGACGACCACCACCGCCACCGGCGCCACGACCACCGCTACGGGCACCGGCGCAACAAGCGGAGCTACTACGGGGGCGGGCACCACGACCACCACCACTACAGGTCAGTCCGGCGGAGGCGGCGGTGGCGGCGGTGGAACCGAGGCGACGAGCACTGCGCAGGAGACAGTGACTGAGACGGTTTCGACCGATCCCGGGACGGTGTCATCGCGTTCCCCTTCGGCGACGCTTGGGTTGGTGAGTTTTTTTGTTTTTTGTAACGTGTGGTAGATCAGTACGGACAGGTGAATGTACTGGATAGAGAGATCGGAACGTTTTTTTACTGGAGGATAACAACAACACACATACAAGCACAAGAAGACTAGGTGCCCGATCGAGATAGAACCACGGGCGAAGGGGAGCAGTAGAGAGTTGAGCAGCAGGGAGCAACCGCTTTGTGTAAGCAGTAGCAGAGCGCTGAACAACAGGACACAGCTGCTTTGCGTGGGTCAGGCATTTTGGGGGGCGTTGATCTTGACTTGTTTTGGTAGTGTGGGGACGGCAGCAGGTTGGGTCTCACGGACGCCATGCCGTCCCTTTGACCTTTGTATAACTCGTCTCTACTTTTCCTCATTGCCCCCAACATAGTTACCATCCGGCCAACCTCCTCCCCGGCGTCTCCCCCCGTCCCCCAGCTGATGATATTCCAGATCCAGTTCCTGAGCTCACTGAGGCTGCTGGAAGCGAACATCACCGCGCCTTTCCGACGCATGCTGGACCGGCTCAAGTGGCTCAACCTGCACTTCGACGTGGACTTCGTCGGCTTCGCTGGCTGCGACGGAGAGGTGTGTTGCGTGNATCTCATCACCAAGCGCGAAGCGCCGTGAGGCATTCGGCGAGTCGCATGAAGGGTGCGCTGCATCCTGCTAAGGGTGTTCGGCATCTGATGCTTACTTCCTTGCATACGGATGACAGCTGCGTATGACTTGATTTATTTTCTGGTGCTTTGGTTTCCAGAGACAGTTGTAAGCACTGTGTAACTGCCTCGGGGGTGCTTGACCATTTTATCACAACGTGATGCGATCATCCCTTGTGCGCAGAGTGAGGGTTCTCCACCCCGCACAACATGATCTACTCGACCGCCATTATGGTTGCCGCCAAAAAAAAACAGAGGTGAAACAAAAACAAACGGTAACCTGGTTGCCGAGTTCACGAAGTGAATTGGCTTGT